ATATTATTCCTCTTAATGTTTGGTGTACATTGAAGATTGACTGCCCTTCCTCTTTCTACCCTCCCCTCCGTTCTTTTTTTTTTTCCTTCCTCCCCTCACTCCCTCTCTTCCTTCTTTCTTTTGTTTCTTTTTAATGATACTGGAGACTGAATCCGGGGAACCCTGAGCTATGCCCCTGCAGCAATTTTAAAGCTTCTGACACAGTTTTTTCCTAACTGTCCAGACTGGCCTCGAATTTGGAATTCCTCTGCCTCAGACTCCAGACTAGTTGGGATTATGAGCATGAAGCAACTTGCTTACAAAGGTTAATTTTATTGTTAGTGCTTTAAATTGTGTTAAGTCGAGTTGTAAATGGGGAGAAGAGAATTCTATTTCTACAACAGACTTTGGAATCTTTTTTTTTTGTTGTCTTATCATCAACTTATCTTTTACATTTGAAGAAAACAGTGACCACACTTGACTCTTTCAGACTTTCTCAGTTTCATTTGGAAAACAACTTGCAAGTGGAGATTTGTGAATTCTGATAATTTCTGGGTAGGTGGTATGGTTATATGATGAGTGAAGTTTATTTATTTTACTGTTTTTATTAGTTTATTATTATTCTATAATATGTAGGTCTCACATAAAGAGAATAAAAATGAAAAAAACATTCCCTTCAATGAAAAAAGTGTAACAGGAAGAAAGTGGTTGGAAAAAAATAAATGTCTAAGTGAATGTATGTATTGTATGTATATGTATATATACACTCCCTTTTTATACACTTTTTTTTCTTCTTAACAGCAGGCTATGTAATACTATATATTCTGTTTCCTGCTTTTTTCATTTATTCTATGTTGAATTTTATTAATAATAAAATATATAATAATATTTTATTATTCTATGTTGAATAGATACTGTGGACAATAGATTGGAATCATTACAAAGTTAATCATTACAGGGTAAACCGTTCCTTTACTGGCAGATGGAGTTGCTTTTAGATTTTTCCCTTTATAAAATACTTCAGTAATCTTCAATAATCATTTCTAAGGACCATTGCTTTGGTTTTTGTGGTATTCATTTCCCAAATCAGGATTATTGAGGCTAATTTGGGGTTGGAGTAGATAGTGTAGATTTTAAGGTCTAGTAGATATTGAAACTTACTTTCTTACTTATTTGTTTATTTGTTTTTGAGACAGGGTCTCCCTGTGTAACCTAGGCTGGCCTTGAACTCACTGTGTAGCCCAGGCTGGTCTCCAGCTCAAGATGATCCTCCTGCCTCAGCCTCCTTAGTTTGCGGATTACAGGTGTGCAACTTACTTGTAAAAAGTTACAAAAATTCCTATTTCAATAAGCACTGTATGTGAGGATCCTTATCTAGGTGTCTCAATCTGGATATTCCATTTGCCTAACTTTAAAAGTTAAATACATTATTTTTAAAGTGTTTGCTGTCCTAACTTCTAGTCTAATTAAGAGATTTTTTTATCACACATTCATAAGCTGTTTGTATTTCCTCTGCTTGAGGGTGTTTATAGATTTGCACCAGTGACAATAGCAGTGCTGAGAACAGAGGAGAGAATGGCTTCTATAGCATCTCTACTTGCGCTTACCTTTTCCTAGGCTTCCGTCTCTTCCAAAGCCCTAGCTTCCCTTCCACGGCCAGCCCACTAAAGCTGTTCATTTCTCCCAGCATGCTGCTAGGACACTGTTTTTCACTGGAACAATAACAGCAATAATTGTTACTGTTACCACACAGGGGACTGAACCCATAGCCTGGCACAGAATGGTCAAGCACTACGCTAGAGAGCTACAACACCAGCCTTTTTAAAATTTTCACTTTGAGAGGAAGTCTTGCTAAATGGACCTGGCTGGTTTTGAATCTGTCATTCTCCTGCTTCAGCCCAGACGGTAGTTGGTATCGAAGGTAGGCATCGCCATGCCCACCTGGAATTATTTTCACTCATTTCCTTTGCCGTCTTTGCTATTTAATAGTCTTTCTTTTCCTTATCTATCTACTTGATGTAGTCCTGTGCAAAGTAGGCCATCAACAATTTTCCTTCTACAGTATTGTAATAAAACTAACTATAAAATTACTAGTTTGCTTGATAATCTGATTTTCAAAAGAGTTCATTTGATTTGAACCCTATTAACCATGTTAAAGAAGCAGCCCCATTTTAGTTTCTTTTCTTAAACTACTTTAAGAAATTCACTTTAACATGCATTTTCCATATAGTGCCTTAGTAAGTTAACTGCCGAGAAGCCAGTAATAATTATTATTTTTCTTGTAAAATAACAGCACAAGAACTATAAAGATTTAAACAGTTTTATATACACATTGAAAACTTTCCAAACTAATACGTAGTCTTTTATTGGGGGGGTGCTTTCTCTCAAGAGCTCCTATTTAAAACCCAAATGGGATTTCAAAACACAAATAAATAAATGTCAGAGCTTCTTGGCCTGTGCTCTGCCATTCTATGCCTGAAATCCTGCCAAAATGAAATTTTCCATTCAAGAAGGGCTGGCATTTACTAAGCTGACTTTAAAAAAAAAAAAAACAAGAAAAAAAAAAAAAAACCAAAGACATACTCCAAAGTCCTGGAAACTTGCTGCAACTTTTGACATTGCTTTCTGGTGGACAGAACGGCAGCCGCCGCAGACATTTTCCATCCCTGTAACACTTGCTGAGAAATAAATTCTCGGCCCTTCCAAAGTCTTCAGCTACTGGGTCTATAGTCTCTTCCCAGGGCCCAGCACAGAAGAGTTAGAGCCGCCGGACTAGAAGCTAGTGTCTCACTAAATATCAAGGAGCAGAAATGACAAGAGACGAACTGTCTCACCGAGGTTGCAAGCAAGGAGAAGAGAGAAGTGGGCGAACAAGGGCGGTTCAAGAGGCCACTCGCAAGAGGCTCACACTTAATTCATTCTTAGCGCTAAGACAGCTGTAGTGAGAACGGCTGCTTCCGCAGGCGAGGACATCGCTGTCACTGACTGTGAAGGTCAAATAGTTAACAGATCAGTCTAGAAGAGCTCAAAGGGGGCTGCGCAGCCCCCCAGGTGGTGGCAGCAGGAGCCCAGCGCGGTGCCCCAGGCGGGCGAGGGGAGGGCGCTGGACGGAAACCGAAACCCTTTGGCTCGAAAACCTACAAGGTCCAGTCCTCCAAGAAGCGCTAAAAATGGACACTGTGGCGTAAACCCGAAGCAGGAATGCCAATTAACGAACCTCTCAGAGACAAAACTCATCTTTCTACCCTCGAACTGTTTCGGAATTTTAAAGCCACTGCCTGGATGAAGCACCGAGCAGGAGATCCTAGAACTTTTCTCCCCACTTTCAGTTCTCCTCCTTTTGCGTAGCTTTTTCTCCTAGGCTGTGCACCCTGAAATTATCCCTGAGTCTTAATTTCGAATTTAATTTTTTTTCCTTGCACGTTATTGCTCCCAGACCCAAACAAAGCTCCTTTTCCTCATCTAGAATTTGCTTCACGGACGGGACAAAGAAGAGAGCGATGCACAAGAAAGTTCTGAGGTTTGGGGGAACTCTCAGGCCTTTGTGTGTCATTTCCCCTTGCCCCTCCACGCCCCCAAACACGTGACCTAGAATGGCCGGAATTTTGTGAATGGAGACGAAAGGTGGATAAGGGGGCGGGCGGAACTCCGCCCCCTTCCTAAATCGGCCAATCACCTAGCGGAGCGCTGCGGGGTCAGCAATAAACAACAATGGGCAGGGAGTTTACGGTTCGTTATTGGCTGAGGGAAGAACCTCTCGGGGGCCTAACCCGAAGCTCCGCCCTTTCCCAGTTACCCTGGATACCCGTGGGGCTCTGGCCGCAGGAAAGGTCTTTGGAAACTGTTGCTTTGATTGCAGGGGCTGGGTTATCCCGGGAGGGCGGAATGGCAGGACATCTTTGGCTCTGTGCCTCTCCTGGTTGCACCTTCATGGAGTAACGGAGAGCCTCACCATTCCAGCCTCCTCGGGGTCCTGGCTGCTCCCGGAATCTCTTCGTTGCCGGGTTTCAAAGGCAGTTCCCGCTCAAAATACTTGCCGAGCGCGGGGTGAGCTCCGATTCCGGTGTGTGTGCCTGCTCTGTACAGTTACTACTTATTCCCCCAGTAATCGGTGCTGACTTTTTGTTCTTGACCTTACCGTGCCCCTCCCGCCAGGGTCCAGACTGAGTGGGCGCCCACACTCCATTCGACTGCGTCTACATAAGGTTTCACTTAGGGAAGAAACTTTGAGCTAGAAATCGAGAAGGGCAGCACGTACCCCAGCGAGCTGTACGGCTGCCGGAAACGTCCCTCGGTCGCCAGCTCTGCTGACCACCGGGGTCACAAGTGAATTTCAATACCACGGCGTCCCCGACCCCTTCCCCGGGACCCCAGCCCCTATCGTGCTGTGGCTTCTGAAGTGACGCTTTTAGCGCTCAAGCCCTGCCGCAGGGTCAGGGCTAGTGGCTTCAAGATGCAGTTCCGACTTTCTGAATGTCCCGGTGGGAAGGTCCTCGTAACGCGAGCTCTCTCCCCGCTAGCCCCCAACCTCGGGCTGTGGCTCTTTGAAAGCTCGGAAGGAAGTGAAAGCGTCAAGTACAGTAAGTGACACCCTCCGCCTCCGTGTATACATAACAAAAGCCCAGGAAACCCGCGGCCCGGGACCTTCGAGCCACCCCGCTCCCCGCTCGCCCCTCCCCGCCGCCGCCGAGTCTTGGAAGCTCTCTCCCTTCCCCGGTGCTCCGGTTCGGACCAGTCCGATTTTTAGGTCTTCCCCAGTCCTCCCTCCCGACGCAACCACCCCTAATAAGCGATTCCTCAGCTTCTCCCTGGCCTTTCCTTTATTTTTCCCGTCCCACGGACGATGGCAGCTCATGGTAGTTGAAAATGGGCTAAGAAATGTTTCGATTAACGATAGCGGCGGTCAGTGTGGAGAAACGAAATAACTTGGGCCAACGGCTTAGTGGGAAGGAGGCTAGAGAGCGAGGTGAGCTTCTGGTCCGGTCGAGGAGAGAAGGGCTGGGGGCTTGGGGGGCTGGGGTGAGGCCACGGGCGCTGTGGACTGCACTCTAGTACTGCGTATTCTTAAAGCGTACAACAGGGCTTTAAGGAAATCAGCCCGGTAGTGGACCAAACACACCCGGAGTGAGGACTGGAGATCGGACCACATGGTTTCAGACGCCTTAACAATAAGCAGCGAATTAGGGAGGAAGTCGATTTTCTCCGTGGCTTTTCACAGCTGCGGACCCCGCGCTGGCTGGAGCTGCGCCGGCTGGGGCAGAGGGGTGCAGGGGACCCGCTGGAAGGGGCCGCAAGCCTCGTGATTGACAGCCCGAAATCTGATCTTGTGAAAGAGACGTGGAGCCAATAGGAGGCAGCGATCCATCAGTTTGCATTGGAGGCCCCTGGAGGAGAAGTAGAGGAAAAACCACCGAATTGAGCTCTGTCAGAGGCGCTTTCGGCTTCCAAGGGGAAGTGCTGGGCGATAATTAATGTTTTTATTAAATTTGGAGGGAATTTTTTGCAGCCGTTCGCCTAGCGTGGCCTTCAGGTGGGTCTTTCCAAAAACTTTTTATGTCTCTCCAGATAATTGCATGGTTGTGGGTTGCAAAAACTATCCTTATGAAAGAGGTGTCTCCCTCTCTTTAGTCCCGTTAGGTGCAAAGCAAGTCTCGTTGATCGCCATTGCTAGTTTTGCACTCGTTTGCGAATCAGAGCTGCCCGGGGTACACCGACGCGCAGGGAAACATCGAGAGTGTAAATAAAATACATCGCCTCCGGTTCGGATTTTTGCTACTACCGAAAATATGTAAATTGTGAACTCTCTTGGCTCTCTTTGGATCCAGGTGAAGGAGGCGGTGTAGGGAGGATTATTTTTGTGAATGGGACTGTCGGAGGGTAATTAGCTATGCAAATTCAAGAGCTTCATTCATGATTTTTTTTTTTAAAAGCCTAAAGCCATCTTGTTCCCCTCTAGGTTGATAGAAGTCCAGATCCCGAGGAAATCTCCAGATAAATGCTCAAAATATAAAATACTGAGCTAATATTTGCGAAGAGCAGCAGAATGGATGGATTTTATGACCAGCAAGTGCCTTACATGGTCACCAATGTGAGTGATCAGTTCGAAAGTTGCTGTTTATAAACTTGACTCCGACGGGGGGGGGG